ATATATTTTTAGTTATTTATATATATTTAGTTGTGTATTGATATTTATAGTTTTTATTTTTTTCTCATTTTTTAAATTCTCATTTAATCAAATGTATGATTTTTTTTTTTTCATATTGTAGTAAACTATTGAACTTATATAATGAGTTTGTTTATTGTTATATTTTTTTATCTAATCTAAAAGTTATTAATTGAATATTTTTATATTATGATTTTTTTTTTTTTTTAAATTTTGGCTTTTCTTCATGAAAAGGAAGTTGATGTGTTTCCATTATTTTTTGTATACAGATATGAGACGAGGTACGTGAGGTGCATCTTCTTCTAGACAGCAGGTTGATCCAGAGGGAGAACCACAGAGGTCATTTCGTCGTCTTATTCAAGGGCCTTGTAGGGCTGTCCCTACACAGCAGCAGCTGCCTAGCTTGAGCTAGCCTCCCACACAACAACAAATTTCCAGTTTGACTCAATTTCGCACATAGCTGCAACAGGAGCAACCCACTGTTACTCAGCCACCATTGGCCGATGACCAGTTCACTGGTGATGATGCAACAATGGAGGAGGACACTGAAGAGTGTAATTTGGAGGCTGAGTTGGATGCTGAGTATGCTGTGCTTGATCTTGAGTTAGATGCTCAGTTGGAGGAGGAGCTATCACGTGCTGTCTCGAAGATAGGACGTGGCATGGATAAAGGAGATGATGCTCCTGCAGACCCGAGTCAAAGGAAGGTGCTTAGCCTTAATCGCCGAGGCACATTCAGCCATGAGAGGTTTGGGAGGACTGCCATAGTAATTTGGAAGTACTTGTATGATGAGCCAGTGCTTTTCTGGTCTAGCTGGCCTGAGGAAAAGAAGAGGGTTGCTTGGGAGAATTTTCAAGTATGAAAATTATAGAATAAAATGAAGTATTTTTTTAAGAATTTATTTAGATGCTATCACCTTACTCTTATGGTATTTTATATGGAAGTACAAGGTATATTTTATATGATTTTTTATATTTTATTTATAATAGTGAAAAAAATGACAATTTAAGCAAAATTTTGCTCTTTTTTAAAGAAAAATCAAATAAATTACTAACATTTAATTTTTTTTTTCATTGCAGAGGACATATTATTGGGAAGAGGATGATGCTCGTGTGTATAAAATCTAGAGATTACATTGTTGAAACCGTTTTCAAGATGAGCTTCATCGAGCTCGAAAGGTGTGGGTCAGGGACAAGAAGTTGCCCGAGTTCATGCATAAGGATACCTTTAAAATTTTGTTGGCAAAATGGAGGAGTCCAAAATATATTGCACTCTAGGAAAGAGGTCGGCAAAACCGATCAAAGGGTGACCGTATGACCCACACAACTAGATGCCTTTCTATTGGGATCCATGAGGATCGACTGGTTAGTAAGATATACTTATATATATACATATATAAATTTTTTTTTTACCATAAATATGGAAATGTTATTGATTTTATTGATATTTTAATAGGTAGCTAAAAAAGGAGGAGTTAAGCCAACACCTTTAGAGTCGTACTTGTTGACTCACACGACTCGCCGACCTGATGCTCTAGAAGATGCCCCACCCGCTTGGATATGTCCACAGGCTGGCAGACATATGTAAGAATCTGATTCTTTTATGAGATTAATTTTATTTATTTTTAATGTCATATTGCCATAAAAGAAGAAAAGTGATACAATTTTTTATCCATTGTATTCAGTAAATAATTATTTTTCATTTGATTTCCCATTATCATTTGAAATTACTAACTAATGAAAATTTTATTTTTGAAACAGAACGATGCTCACCAAAAATATGTGGAGAAGCATGGGCCAAACAAGGATTCATGGCCAAAATGGGATCCACTTATCTGGAAGGAGGTGGTTGGACCTCCTAAAAAGGGTCAGATGAAAGGGATGTCTACATTACAGGATCCAGTAAAGCATGGCATCCCTTGGCGATGGTATGACATGAGTGACGCCTCCTTTTCTACCACCAGGATTCTTACGTCACAGGTTCAGCAATTGCAGTTTGAGCTTACTCAAGTTCGGGAAGAAATGGCTGAGCGAGTTCAGACAGAGGTGGCCGCACGTATTCATACAGAGGTATCACAGAGAGTATCAGAGATGGAGGCCAACTTTGAGAGGAGATTTCAGGAGCACATGCGCTTACTTAGCCAGCAATATTCTATGAATGCTACACAACCCCAGACTGGTTATCCTTCCTCTACACCACCCCAGATTGCTGATCCTTCTTTTGAAGGATTTAGACTTGATCACTTCCCACCTCATAGTTAGAGACATTGATATTTGAAACTTATATTATATATGTTTATATATATGTACTGCATATGTGGATATATGGTATGTA